CATCAATATACCATCAACATGGGTGAAGAATTTCATGCTAAATTTTATAAAATCTGCTATCAGGAAAAGGCTCTGCAGACAGCTAAGTTAATATACGTGAAACAATGACATTCAGAGTAAATTACTTTAGAGGGCCTTGTCTCTGTAACGGGAATAGTTATATGCCTCACAAAAACACACACAGAAAATGAACTGCCTGATGTTCTGGAAACCCAGGATATGCGATGAATCATTCATTCACTCCTGTCACTTGGAATGGTTCACATCTGGTTTTCATGAGTTATGTCCTCAGGAGAAATAGTACAGGTTTCCTCTTTTAGGCAGGGTAACAAAATTATGAAGTCGTAGAAAACTGTCAATAAAACTGATTAACTGAAACAAACTAATGGAGCCATATTTCACACATAAATTATTAAGCATAAGACTGAGTGTAAAGTCAGTGGCTGTAGCTCACTTACCTGAGTTCAAATTTCCTTCAACATGAAGGGAACAACAGAAATGCAAAGGGCAGGATTTTGCAGCTATGAGACTCTCTGAGCCTCTATGATGTGGCTTCCACTGACCTTTAGAGTCGGTGAGCACAGTCAATGAGATTGAGGTGTCTGGTATACAGTGAGGGCTTAATGATTTTTCATTCTTCTCTCATTGCCTGCCACCCAAAGACTTGCCCCAAACAAGACAACTACTGGACCATTATCTCTACATCCCAGTCCTTACTACTGTGTCATACCTAAAATAAGTAGCCCTGGGGATACTATCAGGGGACATACTGATGGCTTTACTTCCTGGGGTTTAACCAAAAAAGATTTGTGGACTAAAAGCTGGTGAGCTCAAAAGCGGAAATTTATAATTCCCTAATTCAGTGGAAGCTGGCATATAGAGACAACCACAGAAAGGAAAAGAGAAAGAAGTATGCCACTTCCCAAAATGGGTCTGAATCTAAATGCTTTGATTAACCTGGTAACTAACTAGGTCAGAGACATTTTACTTCATGTCCTTCTGACATTTTCCAAATTTCCTGATGTTAAACATGGACAAAAACCAAAAATCTGCTCTTTGAATGAGAACTGAGGCTAGAATAAAAGTCACTGATGTATGTGGCAATCAAGTTAATAAGCCAAATGAATATGTTCTTCTCATTTTTCCAATTATGATGCAGGAAGTAAGTTTAAGAGTTCACTGAAAAACAAAGTGATTTTCAAGATAGCAAGAGAGAAAAGAAAACACAATAACTAGACTAACAGCTTCACAGAACCATAAATATTGTCCAGGACTTAAAAAATATTAGAAAGTAATTTTCAAAACTATCCCTACTAACTTCATATTAAAAACAGTACACAGGCTCCGTATACCAGCTCCCTATTCTAATGCAAACATAAGCACCTCATCCAGAGATGAGCTGTCATGGGGAAAGGTGCTGATCATACACAAAAAAATCAGTATGTGAAGTGATGCTATGTTAATTATTGAAATTTACCTATCCTACAATGTATACATATATCAGAATGTCATCCTGTATATCATAAATATATACAACTTGTATTTGTCAATTTTTAAAAATAGGCATCAAGGAAATAACCGAATTTCTATACTACCAGAAGCCAAAGAATTGAAAATTAGACTGGTAAATGAGAACCATAAATTGATTCTAATTCTAAAATCGAAACAAGAGCCCACTTACAACATCCAAGGCTAAGTGACAGCCCACAACTATCCTCAAATAATGACAATATCAAACAACCATGGGGGCAGGGGGCTGGGGATTTAGCTCCGTGGTTCCGCCGCTTGCCTCACAAGCGCAAGGACCCGAGTCTGATCCCCAGTACCAAAAAAAATGAAAGTGTCAGTTATTTTTATTGAGTGTCTTTCATCCGCTAGGCTCTACTTTAAGTATATTCCCACATAAACTCAGGAATCTACACAAAATTCTCATGGGAGAGGTCTTTGAAAATACATAAAATTAAAATGATTAATTTGTAAAGAACCTGAAGCACAAAGAGGTTAAGTAAGTTTTCCAAAATCACAGAGCTTAGAAAACAGCAGAAACAGAAGCTGAAGTTCGGGTGTAAGGCTCACCTCATCATGTTTGGGAAATTATTTCTCATAGGGTACCTATTATAATGCTCTAATAAGACATTTGTTAAGCACAGGTACATGGTTTTTTTCCGAGTAAAACTTTGAACCAGAGAGGTCCCTAGTTCTCTCCCAAGGGACTCATCTCCACCCTTACTTGGTTCAGAGCTTTCACCCTTTCCTCCTCTCCCATTTGACTCCTTTAAGATAAAGAAGCACGATGGCAAGCAAAAGGACTTCTGAGTGGGGGACAATGGATGAATAGAACAGATGCTCAATAGGTGCTCAATGAACTGCAGTCAGCTAAAAAAAAAAAATGGAAACGTCTGATCACCTGCTTGAGAAGAGAGTGATACAGCTAACTAACCATCATTCCCTACCCTGGGAAAAGAAAAAATATTCACAAGTCTCAAGAGGAAAGACTCAGCCTCCACTAATGAGGATTCGTAATTCATGAGCCTTTGTGTAGCCCCCTGTCCCCTACATCCCTCTTGATTTCTCTCCCCAGAACCTCGCTTTTCTCTCCTTTGAGCTGTAGCTTTCCCTTTCTCCCCTGAGAGTAGCGGTATGCGATGGTGTCAAAGGAAAGGAACACGGTGGTGAACAATCACAGCTCCTTTCTATGAGTCTATACCACTTCCCCACACCTTCCTGCCCAGCAGATGCAGAAGAGACTGCTGAGGAAGGAATGCAAAAGCCTCTACCCATTATCTCCTTGGTCCAGCTCAATGTGGAGATTCTCAGGAAGGTGCGAAATTAGCTCAGCTTGTCCATCATGGTGCACAGTTGGGCTCTGGCTACATTCTAGCACAAGGAAAGAAGAAGCAAACTTTGGAAAATTAAACTGGATGAGAGCCCTGTCCTCTGGGCAGGAAAGGTACTTTTAATTGACTTCTCACAGAAGTGAGGCTCACCCACGGCTTCAAGCCTTACTCCCTGGCAGAAGGAAATGAGAAGACAGGTCACAGGCAACTCAAGCCAGAAACCAAAAAACAGCTCAAATAAATGCTGCAAAATCCATTTGCCAGCAGCCTGTTAATACTGTTAATAAGGAATACTGTAAGCCTCTCAGTGCTTTTAATTGCTGAGGTGTTTTAACTCTCACTAGCTTTAAGAGTCTCATGATGGCCATGGAAAAATCTTGTTAACAAAAAAGTCTGTGGGGCTAGCAGTTCCGCTCAATGGTAGAGGAGCATGTGTGAAGCCCTTGGGTTGATCTCCAGTGGGAGGGGAAGGGAGCCTGACTCAGAGGTGCTCAGAAAAGCTAGGGAATGATATAGGACATGGACAAACCCCACACAATTCTCTGCCCTCTGCTCTACTGCAAAATACTGGCTTCTATCCCCCAAAGAAGTTGTCACCCTACAGCACAGAAAAAAGAGGTACTTGAGTCCCACAAGGAAAACTATGGCAAAAGCATTTAATTTAGCCTCAAAAGATGGAGGCATTCCCTATGGCATTACCAGAGAGTTGTTACCGTGGGTCAAATGGCAACAGCAACAGCATACAAAAAAATGGACAAAATAAATATGAAATGGCAGCAGAGAGCCCTCCAAGGCACAGCCTCGGAAATTAGCCTGCACCTGTTTCCATCAGACCCGCAGGCTGCTCTCTCCCTCGATGGGAGAAGGGGCATCACGCATGTTTTGGTTGTTCCTCAGGTTCTTCCCCCACAGCAGGATAAAACCTGACTCTTTCCCACCCCTTTAATTTTCCTGAAGGTGAAATGGAGATCACTGAATCTTAGAGCAAATCCTACGTGGTCTGTAAAATGCTGGGCATTTCCTGTACAAAAACTGCTACTTAAATTCAACGGTACAAATGAAAATGAACTTCAGGTAAGAAAGACAAAAAAGAAGGCAGAAGTAATTCACTCAGCCCAGAAGTAAACAGCTACCAAGCAACAAACACAGGCCAAGGAGTGCAATGACACCAGTCATTAAGGAAATGCAAACCGAAAGTAGCACCCATTGAGATGGTTTCTCTGAAAAACACCGGAAAGTAAGAGCAGTGGTGAGGATGTGGAGAAGCTGGAACACAAGCACACTGCTGGTGGAAATGCGAATGACTACAACTGCTATGGAAAACAGTATGGTGGTCCCTTAAAAATTTACAAATAGAGGGGTGAGGATTTAGCTCAGTGGTTCCAGCAACTGCCTCTCAAGTGCAAGGTCCCGAGTTTGATTCCTGGTAACAAAAACAAAAATAAAATAAAAATAAAAATTTACAAATAGAATCACTATATGAACCAGTAAATCTATTCCTGAATGTATACCTAAAAGAACTGAAAGCAGTACGAGAAGTATTTGCATGCCTATGTTCAGGACTGTGTTATTCCCTTTCTCCAAAGGGAGAAACCACCCATGTCCACTGACAGCTGCACGGGTAAACTGTGGTACAGACATAGAATGGAATATTATTCACCTTAAATGGATGTTCTAACATATGCTACAACATGGATGAACCTTGAAGACATTATGCTAAGTGAAATGAGCCAGATGCAAAAAGAAAAACTGCATGATTCCACTTATACGAGGTGGAATTGTCAAATTAAAAAAGAAAGAAATTAGAATGGTGTGGGGCAGTGCAATGCGGAATTAGTGTTCAATGATTATAGAGCTTTAGTTTTACAAGATGAAAAGAATTATGGAGGTGGATGATGGTGAAGAACGGTTAAGATGGCAGATGGAACACTGTATGTATTTTACTGCAATATAAAAAATGGGAGGCTAAAAAGAGGAAACAGCTTGTTTTTTTTTCTTCGAGATTAAGAAAAAAATAATTCTTGGGGAAGTAGGGAGAATAATGAAGAAAGGAACCATGGGAGCTTCCATATAAAAACGACACAGGTTTTTAAGCTTTTCAAATCTTAGGTTCAGCTATAAAATACGTACATGCACCCCCAAGAACCACAAGAAGCTACTCACCTCACTGAGGTAAATAAAGAAAGAGCAGGTGGACCCATCCACTCCATAGTCTGCGTAGCAGGGATCTGAACGCCACATATCTTTCATCCACTGAAATGGACAAGAGCAGAGAACATCTCTCAATCCCTGAGCAGTCTGTTGCTGGTGTCTGTGCCCATCTGCTGACAGAGAACTGGAAGGTGTGATGGTGACGGCGGGGTGAAGAGCTTAAGCGGGCCTAAAGACAGGGCAACAGGATCACTGAGCTGAGGTCAAGAGGTCCAGCTGCTCAGCTCCTGGAGGACCCACAAACAGAAACTGGCTTGGGCTGGGTCCAAGCAGAGGTGCGTAGAGGACACAGAGGCCGGAGATGCAAAGGCTAGAAGAGCTTGGTGAAGACAGAGCGCCTACAGGGACGCTCACACGGAACTATCCTCCGGACACTACAGTCCCGGGGGTCCCAGCACAGGGCCAGGATGCAAAGTACGTAAAGGGGCTTAAGTGCCACTCGAGCATGGGTGAGCATTTACAGACATCCCAAAAGGAGAGCAGAGGGTGCTTCCAGGGTTGGTCTCACCATCCTAACTGTACATCTGAACTGAAGCTTTTTGTCTGAATGCTCCTGGGCAAGGAATGGTCTCAAGAGTAGGCCATACAAATAGATTTTTTTAAAAATGTTGGGCTGTGGGTACAGTTCAGTGGGTGGGCACATGCCTGACATGCATGAGGCCCTGGGTTCAATCCCCAGCACCAAAAAATAAGACTGAAAGAGTAGTCAAGGGTCTCTGGGTACTAAACTGGAAATGCATATGTGGCACTTAAAGGAAAATTGGGTTTAAATGAGGAAGGGCCTGGGGAAGAGGGAAGATGGGCTCTAAATAAAAGCAGCCCCTTGTCACGGGACCTTGAAGGATTACCCACTCGAGGGTGGGAAAGAAAAGGCAAGGCAGTTCAGAGACTCAGCAGGTGCCTCAAGTGGCCCATGTTCCTCCAGTATGACCAGTAAGAGCCACTGTCGACTAAACCATGGGACAGCCACCAGCAAAGAAGGGGCCTCATGGCCACAGCACAAAAATGACAGGATGGAGGAAACCCTTCAAGGACTTGCTTCAAGGGCTCACACACCCACTTGTATCACTGGGAGAGAGAAAGATCGAGGATGATGGAAATGAAGAGGGGTTGGTTCCACCTTACCTTTATTTTCCCCTCACAGTGGGGGAAGCCATCCATAGGAGGCAATACACATTTTTCTTGAGCTCCATTAATGATATCTGAAAAGAATGGAAAACAAAGGATACCATGAGGTCCATAAAATACAAGCCTAAAATCCTTGTAAGCAGAGAGGCAGGGAAGAAACCAAAAACAGTGGCCTATTTTGGCAGACATGTTCTGGTCCATGGAACCGCTCCAGTTCCAAACATGTCTAATTGGCTTGCGGTGAGGACCTGACCAAGGACAGCACACCAATAGGATAGCCAGAGCCCTAAGATGTTTCTGGACCAGTCCAAAGGGTGTGCCAGGGCAACCGGTGTGCTTTGCTTGGAGATCTGCAATTGAGAAACAGAGCAAATAAACATGGAGGAGGAAGTGTAACCCTAAGAAGTGCCTTCAAGAAGCTTAAATCTAATAGTGAACAATAGACAAATGAACAAGTGAACAATGGTGTAACAGACATGACTCAGGACTAGACAAAGGAAGAACACTCAACTCAGTCTCTAAGGGTCAAAGAAGGCCTCCTGGGATCTAGAGCCATATTATCTGAGAGCCCTGAAGAATAAGCAAAAATGAACCAGCCAGGCAGGCGATCTAAAGACGTCATTAAAGAACTGAGGTAGATGCAAAGTCGGGGTCCCACACCGGCTGGAATGGACAAGTAAGGTACTGAGAGGCAGGCAGGGCACATACAATAAAGTGACCACCACCACAAGGATTTTGGTCTTTTCCTAAGAGCACACTAGGGCAATGGACAAGGAAACATTTCAGGAGGGAATGGTTATGATCAATGTTTTCTGTGGGAAGGGTCATTTTAGTTGGAAATTAGGACAACTCTAAACAGGCATGGCTTTCTTCTGTTTCCAGAAATGCTTAGAAGATGTCACCATTATTTACTGACAACAATTCTCTATACCAACTACTAATGAGAAATAAGATCCAAAATTGAAATATGATTTGACAAAGATATTTAAATAATACCTCAGTGGCTCAGGGCTAAAATAAAAGTTAGGGTCAAGGAGGATCTCAGTGTACTCTGATTCTTAAAAGCAGATTCTTTTGATATCCTGCAAAGAGATTTTTATTTCTTGATGCAGGGCTTTCTACACAACTTCTGCCCACTAACCATTAACTGAAGCACAGGTATCAACATCCTCTTTATCTGGAATTAGAGGCAGGGCCATCCAGCAGTTGAAATGAAGTTTCTTAGCTTTTCAGAGACAATATTTAGTGGTCTCTAAAATGGGTTTTATTCAGCTCTTATTAAAGAAGTTCATATTTATAAGGAGTTTGGCTCAGCATAGCCTTTCTAGAAATTCTGAGTTTCTGAAATAAATACAGTGTTATCAATTCACCCTGTAGCTCCCTTGCTCCCATACGTCAAGTGAGAACTACAGATAGATCACCTCAGTGAAAGACAGAGTATGTCCCCAGTAACTATGACTCCTTTTATTGTCCTTAATACCCATTTTCCTGAGCAACACTTACCAAACCAAGAAGTAGCAGCAGAGGTTCTGACAAAGCAGATTCACGATCTAGAGCTGGGGTAGTGGGACATTTTAGAGGACATTTAGAACGGTAAATGCCCCATTCCCCGCACTATTTACATTCTACTATCAGAATGTGCAGAAGCCAGAGGCTACCTACCAATCTAGGTGTTAGGAAGGAGACTGAAGGAGACACACCTGGTAGGGAAACGATCTAAATGCCGCAGGAAGTGAAGCTTGAGCTGACTATGTAGAGCTTCATTCAGAATGTCAAAGAGTAAAAATATGTTTTCCCAAGGTTGATAAACTATTCTGTAATGGACAAGAGAGTAAATAGTTTTGGCTGTGTGGGTCACAGTCTCTGTCATAACTACTCAACCTGGCTATAGTAAATACAGAAGTCTAACAAAATTTCACTTACAGAAACAGATGCAGACTGTGTCTGCTACTCCACAAGACTCCCAAAATGAGGCAGCCTCCTCATTTCTATGGAAGACCTGCCACAGTGACTATTTTTAAGGACCCCTGCAGGCATGTTTCTCAGCCTCTCCCACCTTCTACCTTTTGTCCAACTACTTAAAGCCCTCTCCTTTTATTTACAATTCAACCAAGCATTCACCTCCCAGAACACATAGTCCTTAATCCTTTTTCCCATAGGGAGTCAGGATTTAGTTAGCCTTTGGCTTTGCCCTCGCCTGGGCTTCCTTGGGCTGGTGCTCATGTGTCTCCCCACCACAGTGAACAACGTGTTTTCTTTGTATTTGTCCATTTACCCCCACAGAACACAAGGAACCTATGAGAAGGTTATGCCTTCTTGCTGGATCACCAGGCATTCAGTAAGCACTGCCTGAAGGGACACAGACATGTTTCAGCCTACCCCTGTGGTTGGAGAAGGACTCAGGGCTGTGGTCCGGTCCCCCGTGTGCACCTGTTAGGGCTCCACAGGTTTTTTCTCAAAGGAATGAAGAGCTCACATTCCTATGAAGTGGAGAGGAGAAAAATCAGCACTGAATAAAGGGGGCAGGAAAGTCTCTCTTAGAATCACTGACTTAGGAATTCTGAGTTCTGGACTATGAACAACACACAGTCAAGGGGACACAGCTAGACAAGAGGGCAAAGGACAGGGAGGGCAGCAGAGGAAGCAGAGCCCTTTCCGATGCGGGGAGAGGCAACGCTGCCTATTGTCCAGGCTGAGTGACTGATATTCAGACCCTGTCGGTATTAAAAAAGAGAAGCTTGTGGTTTTATATGATCTTCATGAATCACATGTTCATTGTTCCAATACCTTTACAAATCACACGCAAGGTTTGTCGAGTACCATATAATTCATCTTTTAAGTGTCCAGTACAATATAGATACCTACTTTTTGAGAGCATTACCTACCAACTATATAGACAGCATCATAAAACACCCACCTTCTGCACACTTATTTAATGTTAATGATAACCATTCTACACTGCTGAACAAAAGACATCTAGCAATAAGGCTACAAAATGAGTCTCAAAGAAGGCTAGGGATGTAGTTTTGTGGTAGAGCACTTGCCTAACATTCATAAAACAACAAAAACCAAAACCAAGCAAACAAAGAAAGGGGAAGCTCCAAGTCAGGCTATGCTTATAGGTAGCACCTGGGTGACAATGATAAAGTGGGATGGGAAATGGAGGAGTGGGTGGGAAGAGAGAAAGACAGAGAGGGGTGTGTCATGGAGCCCCACACAAAGGCCCTTATTCAGAGTGAAAGCTGCCCTACCTGAAGAGAGCCCCCCATCACTTTTCTGTACACTGATTATAGCAAAGATGGCGAGTGTACCAAATGGGTACTTCTTTTTAAGAACTTAGAGAACATGGTGCCTCTGACATTTTATCTAAAAACAAACAGGCACCTGATAAGTTGAGGATGTCTGATTCTCTTTCTATGATTATTTTAAGGGGAAGAGTTGGGGGTGGGGTGGAAAAAACTGGGTTCAGAAAACCTCTCTGAAGCTTCAAAAATCATGACCGATCTCCTCCCCAGGAAGTTTCAGCAAACTGAGATTAATCTCATCCAGTTCCTTGCCAACAGCTGGGATAACTATCTGCATGAGCAAGGGCTCCATTTAGCCCAATGCCACCCTGCACGCATTTTCTCTCCAAAGATAAAGGGTCTCTAGTGCTTCTGTTTTGTGTGTAGAGCAAGGCAGCTTTTCTGCCAGCACACCTGATACGAACATGCGGCCACACTTATCAGATGGCCCAGCCAAGTGTGCTCATGTGAGCTGCCCTGGCTCCAGTGCTCAGCAAATACCCAGGTACTGACTCAATCTCCATGCTCTGTCTGGAGCCTCAGCTCTTGCCGCCAGCCCCTCCATCAGCTGGCTTGGCTGCAGGAGCTAATAGCAATAAACTGGACAGAATAAGCCATGGTAAAATACAGTCTTCCATTAAAAATGACCTCACCAGTAATTTTCAGCTTGGCAAATATTCATTTAAGGCTGCTTCACATTTGCACGATGAAAAAAATGATCTAATATCTATAACTGAATCAGGTACATATATTCCAGGCAGAGGGCCCCACAGAAAGAAGAGCCGTTTCTCTAAGAAAGAGCTGGGAAGCCGAGACGTGGCTAAGTAGCGAGAACCACTCACAGACCTCCAGAACTGCATACAGGTTGAATATCCTGTATCCAAAATGGTTGGGACCAAAAGCGTTTTCAATTTTAGAGTTTTTCAGATTTTGGAATACTTGCAGACTTTACTGGATAAGCTTTCATAATCAGAATATCCAAAAGCCAAAATATCCCCCAATTTGAAACTTTCAAGCATCATGTGAGCTCTGAAAATGTTCTGGGTTTTGGAGCATCTTAGATTTCAGATTAGGGATGTTCAACTGGGTACTTTGAATAGACTTGTTTACATTTTCCTATTTGTTTTGTTTTGTTTTAACCTAAAAGCTAGAAATGTACCTCACCACTGTACCTCAGAATTTCAGCACTAAAGAGACTTCTGGAACCCTATTTGTCATCCCTCTCTACTTTGACTCTTGATTCATAAAACTGCAGCCTAGAGAAGTGAAGTGCCTTCCTCATTTGTTAATGAAACAAAATTCATTAAGCATCTTCTCTGTGCAAAGCACTATGAATGTTCAACCCAGGACTTTGCCTAAATCAAGATTATTTCCACTGTACTGTTTCCAGGTGTTAAAAGACAAACTACCATATTTGTATTCTGTATGAGAAATCTAAAGAGTTATAAATTCTTACTCCCCTCTGAAAAGCACTGCCCAGGGCTTCATGGACTTGCTAAACAGACGCCCAGAGCTCCAGTATTTCCCATGTATAAACAGGATGGACATAATGGAAGGCAAAAAGAAAATCACACACATACAAAAATGCCAAGTATAATCAATGCCATTAAATAGCCAATCAGAATTCAGCCAAATAACTTGAGATTATTTCCACTTCCCTTTGTCACATCCTCTGTCATTTATTTTCACAGGATTAGGTGCCTAATGAAACTTCTAGGCACTAAAAATGTTTCTTTCTTTTTCATAAATTAGAATTAAAGGGGACCTAGATTTTCAGTATTGAGACAGAG